AGAGTAAACTAACATTTTTACTGAGCATCAACTATGTAAGAAGTATACAAAGAATCAGCAGATTCACAGCTGGTGAATGAATGTACTACAAACTTAAGGAGAAACGTTTTTACTGTCATCTTTAAGATCACAAGGAGTCACACTGCCTACTCTTACCAAGACTCACACTGTCCTAGCATGTATCTGCTTAGGCATGCCTGAAAATAATGTAGAAAAAGTAGGCTCAGAATCTCAGAATGGAAAGCCTGACTTAAATCAGTAAGATTTGCAAACACAGAGATTTAGAAAACAGGTAAATGAGGAAGTAGCTATTGAAATGACAAAAGAAATCTTTACTTCACAGGATTTCCTTAAAATTCAATAGCCTCTATCAAAGGAAAGATAAAATTGATAAGAATTCAATGAACTTAGTCAGAAATGCAGCTATTACAGGGGGTTTGCTTTTCTTTCAGATACAGTCAGCACAGCCAGCAGAATGCAGTCCACTTTCTCGCTGACTTCCAGACCAAGGCAGTGAGCCAGAAGGTGGATTTGGTTGAACACTTCAGGGTGGGAGAGGAAATGAGGTGCTCAGTTATCTGTCCATAGCCTTCCACGGAGGCAGAGTAGGAGGCTACCCCCCATCTTTCCTCCCAGGGAATTCCCACAAAACTTGTTCCAAATGGCTAGTTGAGGCCTGAAAGTTCTTTAAGCAGATAAAGATTTTTAGCCAGTAATTAGAGGTAAGGCTTAGAAAGCAAACATCCTTGGGCAGTTTATAACACTTTGCCTTGAATTCCCAAAAGGCTATAAATAACTCCTATCAGGAATTGTATAGAGAATAGATGTTGTCAGAGGGATAGGTGACAGTTGAGAAAGGGATGGGTGTGTGTTTGGTAGGAGGGCGGAGGAGCAGAGGTAACAGGTTGAAACAAAGTTAGAAATTCACTTTTCTGAATCAAGGGATTTCCAGCAACCTAAAAATTAACTCATTACATTTTGCTTTCGTCTGGTTATTTTTGGAATCAAATGAAAAGAGCTCCAAAGCACCAAACCACATTCACTGAATATGATACAATATGAGAGAGCCTAAAATCTGATGCTAACTTACAAAACAACTAGAAGCCTGTTGCACGAAGATTCACACAATAGGCCTTCCATCCCCTGGCTGCCAGCACTGGTTTTCCTCCAGCACTCAGGACCCAGGCCTTTGGTCCGGCCTGCGGCCTCTTCAGTCTTTAGTCTTCACTCTGTGCCTGAATATGCAAATTAACCGCCATCTTTGTTGGTTTAATTTGCATAGTTGCTCTGATTGGCTGGTGGGTGTAGCAGAGTGACACCAATTTGCATGTTTCTCTTTTATTATTGTGGATATACCAAACAAGATCTTCAACTTCTAACCAAGTTGAAAGGGTCAAAATCTGTGTATTTATTCATCAAGTATAAGGTATACTTTCCTTTCACTATTTAACACCTCTGAAATAGATGCATCTTTTTTTTAACCTTTTAAAAAATTATTTATTGACCTGAGAGAGAGGGAGGGAATGCCAATTTGCTGTTCCACTTATTTATGCATTCATTGTTGATTCCCGTATGTGCATGGCATCTTAATAAGCAATAGCTTGTAAGAGTTTTATTGGCAGCATTAAAGTGGCACTTAAAATAAATGTGCCTCTTACAACTGATGGCATAGCCAATGAATTATGGTAGCAAGTTTATTTTGAATGAGGGATACCTCATTCTGGGACTAAATCAGAAACAATGAGAACTATCCTCAAAGTTCTCAAAATGGATGTAACCTTCTTGCTTTCTGCATCAGCAAAGAACAAACTTCCCACAAAACAATTTCACATGTGTTGTTATAAAAAACAGGAAATGCAAATTCAATATGTAAATAAAGAACTTGATTTTTCAACCGACCTGAAAAGACAAAGCTTACAAATATCTAAAATTAGCAATTATCTTATAGCTTCTATCTTACACCTGGTAATGAGGTTACTATTTAGCTTGAATTTTTTGAAGTAAGTCAATGTTTTATAAATCAGGGTCTTAAAATGAAAATAAATTTAATGAAAATCAGGCAGATGACTTAATACATATTCAGGTTCTCTTTTTACTCTTGGTCATTTGTGTTGTTGTTCTAGTTATTTGCATCAGAAGAAAAATCCTAAAATCACCAACTGCTAGATTTTCATATAGTATTGATAACATCTATAATAATAAAAGTGTAATATGCAAATTGACCGAATGGCCAAACAGCAGAACAACTGTCCGGATGACCTTCTGGACAAAGCCGGGGCAGGGCTGCGAAGGCCTACTCTTGCATGAATTTTGTGCATCGGGCCTCTAGTCTAATTATAATGAGATTAGTGGCCCGTTGCACGAAGATTTGTGCAAGAGGCCTTCTTTCCCCTGGCTGCCAGCACCAGTTTTCCTCTGGCACCCAAGACCCAGACCTTCACTCTGGCCACCACCTTCCATCTTCGCTCTGGACACAGTCTTCGCTGAGGCTGGAGCCTTCAGTCTTTGCTCCTCGCTCCGGCCAGAGCTGCTCCTGTAGCTCCTTCCGCCCCCTACCTCCCCCTCATAGCTTGATCGCTGCTTTGC